GGGTCTAGGCCCGAAACGTCAGCCTTCCTGCTCCTATGATGCTGCTTGGCCTGCTGTGTTCATCCAGCTCTACACCTTGTTTTCTAAGAATGAAAGAGCACAGATTTAAATTACTTGCAAGATAAACAAATGAGATGTGAGAAAAATGTTTTCACACAGCAAGTGGTTAGGGTCTGGAATACACTCCAGGAAGTGTGGAGGAAGGGTGGAGGCAGGTTCAATCAAGGCATTCAAGAGGGCATTAGCTGATAATTTGAATTGAAACAATGTGTAAGGTAATTGGAAAAGCCAGTGGAATGGCATTAAGTCACAATGGACATAATGGGCCAAATGGCCTCTTTCTACACTATAGCAATTCTGTGATAATGTAGATGGAGTCATGGGTACGTCAGGGGTGAGGTATCTTTTTGTGACTCACTGGCAGGTTCTGGAGTGGGGTTAAAAGGAGTCGGATACTGGGGTAAACAGGGCATGGAGGAGGTATATATGGATCAGAGAAGTGAAAGACCTTCAGTGTCAGGGATGGTCCTCCATTATGTCTGGGGCCCAATAAAGAGATCCCCCATTCCAACCACCATCCCATGCAATGAATGCTGCCAGGCTGGACTTTGGCATGGGCTTTTCCTGTGTTGGTTAATTTCCAACAGTACTGGTCTGAGGCCCTTAAGTGGCCAGTGAGCATCCTGACAATTACCCTGCCATTGGCAAAAATACAATGGAGTAGAGGCAAGCGAGCAAAGTGCCCACGGCATTTCACAGCCACCTCCTGCCACCCTTGCAACCTACTAAACTGCTGCCTGGAGGCTGTAAGTATCCATCATAGTGATTTTGTTTCTGTCTTTACAGGTAGAATCATACAGACATACAACATGTTGCCTGATGAGTAAGTATTTCCAGCAGTTTCTGTTTTTAATCCATTGCCACCTGTTCAATCCCTATATCATAATAGCTACAAAAAGAGCCTTATTTTTCCGTGAATGGCTCAGACAATAAGATGTTCTTGACAAAATGACTTTATTTTGAATGACATCTAAAAACTAATTAGATTTGAAGTTGGATGTCATCTGTGGGAAAATGAATCAAGAGTCATGTTCTGAACTGTTGAGAGTGGTTTATAAATGCCTCACAAATTACAATCAAATAGATTCCTGAAATTTTATTTAATGACAAGAAATGAATTTGTGAATTTGTATTGAAAAGTGATGGTTGGTAAATGATTAGCATTATAAATTTGTTAATATCACAACTATTAGACATAGAACACAATTAGTTCCAGGGAGCAAACAACCGGCAGTTGACGCAGTCATAATCTGAACTAAATACAAAACTTCCATACAGTATATATGTAATTTATTCTTAATTCATGCTATATAGAATTCCTGATTCAAATTTACTAACTGTATTTAAAATCCTGATCTAAGCATAAAATGTCTCCCTGTAATCTGTTTGTCAACGTTAGCAATCCAATACCATTTGGAAATAGTTGCACAATTCAGAAACTAGTTATTTCATGCAAATTATAAATTCTTACTTGTGGGTGCCGGTTTTTATCTAGATGTAAGTGATAGTACAAAATATAGCCATTTTAATGTGGACCATTCCAATGCTCTCCTGGCTGCATTTTCATCTTCCATGTAGATCTCAGTTCAACCAGACTCTGCTATCCATTTTCAACCTGACTCCATGCTGCTCTTACTCTTTTGCTGTTCCCAGTAATGCATACTGATTGGTTTCCAGTGCTCAATGCCTCCAATTCAAAGTTCCTAGCCTTGTATTCCACTGTCTTCATCACCCTTCTCTATCACCTGATCCAACTACACAATTTGCAAAATATTTCAGTCCCCCAAGTTTAGCGTTTTATTTAACATCCCAATCAGCAATTCCCACACCTTTACCCACTATTGGTGACTATGTTTTCAACTACCTAGATGCTAAGTTTTACAACTCCATCCTCCAGCCCTAACCTTCTATCACAAAATGTTCTTCACTTCCATTAAGCCCATCCTTGACTCTTTGACCAATTTTATGGTACCTTTACCAATTTTTTTTTAAGTTTGTCACTGATATGTATAACTAAGCCTCTTTGAAGTATCGGGGATAATTTGCTACATTAAAGAAGGCTTGATAATTGCATGTTGATATTGGTTTTGTCATGGTGGGGTCCTGATCTCAGATAAAATCCTGTGAAAAGGTACCGGTGAGAACTGTATAAACCCAGGTGCAAACCTTTCAACCTCCCTCTGAGTCACAAAATCTGTCACCTGGCATGACTTGATCATTGGCCACTTTGGCTGCAATCTTTGGAGATGTTCTCGTTCCAGGATCAAAGCAATGGCTTTTGTGGACGAATGATTCATTTACTTCCGATATAACTGATAACAAACCTATAGTGCTAACAGTGAGGTTGAATGATGTAAAACCATTGCATCTAATTCCTCAAAGTATTGAATCTTATGCTATTTTGCAATTTTGTCAAAGGTTTTGGTGCTTTATTTCAGAGGGTCATGTACCATGGGGTGATATGTAATGGACAATAAAAAATATCAGATTGGATTAAATGGTAGATTTTTCTCCAAAACTTGTCTTAAATAAAATCCACCAGCTAACAGCCACCATGAGAAATGGACTATTTCCATGATTCAGTCAAGGGGAGATTTAAAGAGCTTTTTATTAGATAATGCTAACATTCCTAAAGGATTAAATTGTAAAATTGTAAACACATTTAACCGTATCTTAAATTTTCATTACCTCCACTGAAACAAAGCAAAGACTAGCCAATATGCTGCTTTTTAATAAGCAGTAAACTGGTTCCATTTGGCAGGTCTAGCCTCTGGGTATCCTGTGTACTATATATTAACTTTAAATACAGATTGCTTGCAATAACACAGCATGGTGATCTACACCCAAAGTGAAAAAAAAATGGTTAGGATTGCTTTACATCTGCCACAGCACTAAAAACATTTATTAACTCAAAGGTAAAAAATAAATTTTGTCCTTAAGGTCTGTCAGCTGTAAACTGTTATTGATCTTACAAATGAAATTTGTTCACGCTGATCAATAAGTCACATTATCATTTTTCAATCTATTACTGGAAAAAAAGGAAATGCTGTCAAGCATCAATAATAATGGGAATTCTGCATGCACTTGTAAAAACCCTTTTTGTGGTCTTATTAACTCAGCATTGTTGGCTCTCTTTTAGACTACTGATATTCTTAACAATGTCAGGAAGAAATTGCCTGGAGAAAGAATGCCACATAATGTATTGTAGTGCTGCATTACATCAGCCACACACTGGATTTCAGCCACTCCTTATGTCTGGGGACACTTTATTGGCAGTAGAATCCGTTCTTATGCATTTAGACATTTTGGCCAAAAACCCTTCTATTCAAAAATGCTAATTTTACAGGAAAGTAAGATCTGCTTTAGAGTCACTTAATTTCAAATTAAATCCAGACAAGACAACGTTGTCCAATGAAAATCACAGATTGGATATGTTTTGGCTATATCAGCCAATCTTTTTGAGGAAATGCCTTACAAATAATATTGTACTTTCCCTGTATGTTAACAAACATCTGGCACCATTCTTTGCAGTTTCCTTGTTTCACTAAAGTTTAGAATGTGGCACATCGCATTTTAATGCCGATTCTAAGTGTTGCACATCAGTTGCAAATAGTACTTTGAATTCATCGGAGTGATTTCCAAGAATGTTAGCTTACATAATGAGAATTACCAGGCCCGCCTCTCTCTCTGCTACGAGTCTCGTTTCTGCACTCCACCTAGAATGCATTTGGATGCAATTTGCTCTTTTCCATAATGGACTCTGTTACAATTGCTTATGATCAGATGAGTTTGCCTTATTCTACTGGCTTGCACTGTTTATATTTATTGGTCAAGTTGACAATGGTGGCAGACAGATCCCTTCTCCATACAATGTTAATGTTCCCACAGAGTACACATGCATTAGCAAGAGTAAAGAGATTATGTGCACATCAGCAATGTATATTATGCACTTTTTATTTAGTAATAAAAGCTCCATTAATTAAAACCACAATCAAACAGAAAAATACTTGAACCCAAGTCTTATTATTTTGGTGGATATTGTACCTTGATTAAATAAAACTGACCAACATAAGCAACACCAACATAGGGCCTCTGTAGTCGTGGCCGAGTGGTTAAGGCAATGGATTAAAAATCTATTGGGGTTTCCCTGCGCAGGTTTGTATCCTGCTGACTATGTTTCCTCAACTAGCAGATTTTAAATGACATTCTTGGGATGAGTCATCACCCAAATTGGTGAAAGCCCCTCTCATGAGCCCATATTTTAAGCCTGAGGCCATACTAGCCTGAAAACATCTGATCTTGGAAGCTAAGCAGACTTAAGCCTGGTTAGTATTGGATGGGAGACCTCCCAGAAATACCAGGTGCAGTAGGCTTTCAAGGTGGCACGGTGACTCAGTGGTTAGCACTGCTGTCTCACAGCGCCAGGGACCCAGGTTCAATTCTACCCCCCGGCAACTGTCTGTGTGGAGTTTGCACATTCTCCCTGTGTCTGTGTGGGTTTCCTCCGGATGCTCTGGTTTCCTTCCACAGTCCAAAGATGTTCAGGTTAGGTGGATTGGCCATGTTAAATTATAGGGGGATGGGTCTGGGTGGGATGCTCTAAGGGTCGGTGTGGACTTGTTGGGCCAAAGGGCCTGTTTCCACACTGTAGGGATTTTATCTATGTCCAATTTTCATGCATAAATTCAAAATAATATTTTGTAGAAATTGAAAAGACAGCTAAAAATTAATTGACGAAAAGGCATTCAGAAAGAAAGTAATGATGTCCATTGATTTATTTTCTTTGGGTGAAAGTTCTCTGAGGTCAATAGATTTCCATCCCAAACAGTCCCAGAAATCACAATAGGATTGCATTCCATCATAGAAATACTGTATACCATGTAATGAAGGTATTCCCCTAATGGGTAGGGAGTTACAGGATTTTGATGCAATAATGATGAAGGAAGAGCAAAATATGTCCATTTAAGATGGTTATAACTTGAAGTGTACCTTGTAAGCGATGGTACAAGAGCTCAGAGCTGGGTGCTGCTGTTCGGAAAGTCTGCATCTTGTGAAGCACATTGCATCTTTGTGGAAAAATTTTTGAGGTGATGAATGGGGTACCAATCAAGAAGGCAGTTTTGTTCTGGATAGTGTTGGGCTTCATGGGCTTTGTTGGAGTCACTGTCATCCAGGCAAATGGAGAGAATTTCATAGTTCTCCTGATTTGCACCTTATAAATGTTGAAAAGCTTTGGGAGTCAGGAGGTGAATTTGTTTGCCATAGAAGGTTTGGCTTTAGAGGAGAGAGGACACAGTGATGGAGAGTGTAACAAGTAAAGCTAAAAGGAAGAGAAGGAATAGATGTTGGTTCACTATTTTAAGGTGCTGCACTCAATATTAAGTCCAGAAGGCTGTGAAGTGCCTAGTCCGAAGATGAGATGTTGTTCTTCCAGTTTGCGCTGTGATTATTTGGAGATTGGAACAAGGATTTTTGAGCCAATACAATGAGCAAAAGAGAACAACAGTCAGTTTTCACTCATGGGGAGCATTCTAACCTTCAATTCAGAAGGTTTAAGCCCTCCAGGTTCTTGTATTGTTTGAATGAAGCATTAAATTGAGGCCCAACTCCCCTCCCAGGCAGAGTAAGCAATCCCATGGTAACGTTTGAAGTAGACCCCAGTATTTACCCCATGGTCCCAGCCAATATTCATCTCTCAACTGACTAACTTCTCTGATCATATTTTTTCGCTGGTTATATGACAATGTTAAGTGTAGATTGATTTCCTACAATAGTAGCCTAACTTCATTAGTACTTTGTTGGCTGCAAAACCCTATGGGATGCATACAGTTGATGAACATTACATAATAAATGCATATTTAATATTTCTCTGTGTCTTCCTTTCTTTCCAAGTTGGAAGGGGAAGATGTGATCAATTATCTTTGTTCTGTCATTACTCAGTACATTTAAAGAAAATTATTTTGGAAATAAGTCAAAGGGTTTACTCATAGGTTAAAAGGTTCTCGAGATCTCATTTAAGAAAAAAGATATATGCAAATGCTTCATGTTGTCAAAGAGCTAAAGGTGTTATTTTAATAACAATGGGAATAAAATCTGGTAAGACGTTAAAGAAAAAAAGTATAAATTTTTGATTCAACGAGATGATCTGTGACATTTTTTTTCTTTATCCATTCACGGGATGAGGGCATCACTGTCTAGGCAGTATTTATTGCCCATCCCTAATTGCCCAGAGGGCAGTTAAGAGTCAACTACATTGCTGTGGGTCTGAGGTCACATGTCGGCCAGACCAGGTAAGGATGGCAGTTTCCTTCCCTAAAGGACATTAGTGAACCAGATGGGTTTTTCCGACAATTGACAATGGATTCACGGTCATCATTAAACTGTTAATTCCAGATATTTATTGAATTCAAATTCCACCTTCTGCCATGGCATGAATCAAACCTGGGTCCCCACAACATTATCTGGGTCTCTGGATTAACAGTCCAGCGATAATACCACTAGGCCGTTGCCTCCCCTAATGCCCTATAATGCTCTATAAAACAACAGAATTTTTTTTTTAAATTCAGTACTTTGATTTAGGATCACGTGTCGTAAAATGCTTCTAAAGAGACATTCATAAGGAAAAATAAATCCATAACTCAGCACCCTTAACTAATTAAGCCAACTTTATGCTAAGAATGAACTGGTGCCTAAGAAGGTGTTGTTTTAAAATAAAAATGTCAATAGCTGGTGAGACTTGTACTACAAATTCAGTTTTGAAGTTGATAAGAACCACAGTTCGATGAGAAAGTGTCACTGGTGTTTATAAATAACTAAACACTGTAGGCAAAGCTTTATTGATCTTGGTTTATTTGGAATATCATATTTTTCTACAGCTGCTTTTTCTCATGAAATAATTCCAGATTTTTCTGGTAGAAAGATATATGACATTATGTAACACAAAATCTGAGCTGAATTTCCAAGTCCTGCTGAGATCAGAAATTGAGGTGAACAGGACCCAAAGATCATGAGGTCAATGGTGTATTTATTTCACACATTGACAGGTTCAGTGCCTGACAAGGCTATCCACTCTCTCAAGGCAGTTTGGCAATTAAGTTCATGAAGAACCATCTGAAGGATATATAAAGGAGATTAAGTAGAAAATTTTCAGTCAGCCTCCAGTTTCCTGACATTCCAGAGGCAGTTTAGTTTCCCAGAGATGGACAGCAAGCAGCAGGCCAACGTGTCTGTATGCTAGACCTACAAGCTTACTCTACCTGCCTGAGTGGGAATACAGCCAAAGCTTACCCTGTAGAGGAGATCAACTTCTCCACTAAAATAGTGAATGGCCTGACTGCTTTCTATATTTTCCAACGTAATTTTTTTTAAATATTTGCTACCATCAAGTGTAAAATAGAAAGCCTCTGACTGGCGTGACGACTTTGAAAGCCTGCATGTCACCTTTTATTGTATAGGGAACCTATATCCTTACTAAGTAAGGGACACCTGAGTCAAAGTTCCTGGTCATTTACTGTTTTTCCCAGTGTATGTTGGGAGCAATGTATACCGTACCAAGATGCACTGTCATAACTCACCGAGCCTCCTTCAACAGCATTTTCCAAGCCTTCAACCTGTACCACTTTGAAGGACAAAGGCAGAAGACATAAGCAAACACTAACATCTGGAAGTTCCCCATCCACCTTGTACTATCCTGACTTCGAACCACAGTGCTGGAAGTTTGCTGTCATTGGATCAAACTCCAGGAATTGCCTCCTTAACTGTGGATGTACATATACAGGATAGGTAAAGATAGCAGCAGTTTAAGAAGGTGGCACATTTCCAACATTCTGATTGGCAAATGAAGATTTGCAATAAATGTTGGCATTGCTTAACAATACCCATATCCCATGAAAAAACACAAAAAAAGTTGCATTTTTTGGAAATACATGATTAATATGGAATTTAGATAAGCTAACCTATTATACAATAAAAAACTGTGGATGCTGGAAATCTGAAACAAAAGCTGAAATTGCTGGGAAATCACAGCAGTTCTGGCAGCATCTGTGGAGCCAAATCAGATTTAACCTTTTGGTTCCAGTGACCCTTCTTCAGAACGTTCTGAAGAAGCATCACTGGATCTGAAATGTTAACTCTGATTTCTCTCCACAGATGCTGCCAGACCTACTGTGATTTCCCAGCAATTTCAGTTTTAGCACCCTATTATATAATCCTAGCCAGAAAACATATTTTGCCAAGATATGCTATTCCCAAGATTGCACACAGACAGCATTTACTGACGTAGTCATTGTTGATTCACATGCACTTGATACCCAGACCATGAGATCACATGTCTGATTGCCAAGCTAGTGTCGAAACAAAGTTTCAAGTGAATATTTTAAAACCACTTACATGCTGTTGTTGTTGAAAAGAGCTGACCGTTAACAGAACTCAAGAAATGAACTGTCTAATATAAAACTGGTACACTGGCCACTCTTGACCAGAGTCTTACTGTCTATGGGACTACGAAGTGTAAGATCTAGCCCAAGATTGGACACAATTGAAAGAGCACAAACGAGAGACCAGAGGGTCACCTCTCAAAATGTTTCCCTTTTGTTTCCTCATTTGTTATATAAGGGAAAAATAAATTCTCAACCAAAATCTCACCTAAAATATGATTTACACATATTTGGAAAGGCAAGGACTAATTAGGGATAGTCAATATGGCTTTGTGCATGGGAAACTATATCTCACTAATTTGATTGAGTTTTTGAAGAAGTGATGAAGAGGATTGATGAAGACAGAGCGGTGGATGTGGTCTATATGACTTAAGTAAGGTGTTCAACAAGGTTCCGCATGGTAGACTGGTTAACAAGGTTAGATCACATGGAATACAGGGAGAACTAATCATTTGAATACAGAACTGGCTCAAAGGAAGGGGACAGAGGATGGTGGGGTAGCGTTGTGTTTTGCACTGGAGGCCTGTGACCAGTGATGACCCACAAGGATCAGTGCTGGGTCCACTGAATTTTGTCATTTATATAAACAATTTGGATCTGAATACAGGAGGTATGATTAGTAAGTTTGAAATTTACACCAAAATTGGTGTTGTAATGGACAGCGAAGAAGGTTACTTCAAAATACAAAGGAACCTTGATCAGATGGGCCGCCGAGTGGCAGATGGAGTTTAACTTAGATAA